CATAATATTATAGTTTTGTTACGACGTACAAGAGTCAGGATTTTAATTTGGTGGACTCTGAAGGGGAGGGAAGAAAAACAAAATGTCGAAAACAAATCACTCAAACCTTATCAAAGCCGCGCTGCCTACGCAATGTACTTTTCTGGAGAGGAGACAGTAAGTGGATACTGTAACGTTTTTCGCCACACAGCTGCAAAATGGGTTTCTTTATGTGATAGCATCACCCGTGCATCCTAAAAATATTTCGGGGTCTTTTCATCTGACATCACCGTGGTCGTGAGAAAAACACCACTCCGCCCATGAACCGGAACCTAGACTGAAATTCGAGGTTTAAGATATTCGACCGCCTCACCCCAAGAGAGGGAAGTGATGGGACGGAGGAACGCTTCACGTTCCATGTTCCAAAAAAATCATACCAGAGGGAAAAGATAGTCCCTTTGAAACACCAAGAAGATCGATTGTGCTGACCTCCTCCCTTACAAATATCATGTTGTGTAATAATGAAATAATCCATGGTGTGAATAACTTCTATTTAAAATGTAAATATATTGTATTTATAATAACTGTGACGAATAAGTCAATCAATTATTTAATTTCTTAACTCTCACGCTTCCATTCATTTTCCCCAACGTCACAATACACACTATGAGCACAGAGACAAATCTGTGAGGATTTAAGTCCAATTCTCTCTTCTTCTTTTCTTTCTTTTCTTTTTTGGAGGTGGATGGGACATTTACTTTCGTACTTTTATTATTATTTTTCCCCCTATGTAAGGCATTGTAAACAAGATATTGCTTTTTGTGTATATTGGTGTACAAAAATAGGTTCATTTTTATCAATGTTTTGTAAAGTATTAAAGAAATTAGGATTATTAAGAAACCAGAGTTTGGTATTTCGAAAGAAATGAAATTAATTGAAATAAAATAATTAACGGTACACGAATTTAATTGCTATAATTTTTTTTTAGTTTCAAATCTTTTTAAAATCTTAATTATATATAAAAATTTGTATTTACTTTTGAAAGAAAAATAACTAGAGGGTAAAGATATCTTTTTCTTTTTTTAAGGATGCTGGATCATATAATAAGATCCACGAAGACGTCCTTCTCGAAAAGGATGAAGAACCCTTGTACTGGTGCCACAGGAAACTTGAATTACGTGACTGGATATCAGTCTGAGGAGTGTGTAAAGCAGGATATTAGCAATTTGCAAATTTCAAATTTTCTACTCTAATACTGTTCTTTAGAATCATCGAACAACTGAGGCAGATAAAAAAACTTCTGGTTCCTTTTCCAGAATCTACAGGTAAAAATGTAATGTTTCCTCCCAGTGCATTTATTATGACGCGTTCTACTGTTTAATTCCGCCGAGAAAATCATTTCCAGGGCGATAGACATCGTGAGAAGCTGTGAATGCGAGTGATGAACACGTGAGATAGTTGGCGCGAAGGGGGTATCTCGTGAGCGAATCTCGCACCCGCTGATGTCCATCTCTCGTGAGGACTTCATTTGCACTCCTAAAGAGACTCCTTAGTCCGGTTGAATGCCCTTGGCCACTTCAAGCTCGTGCGTGTGCGCATTGGAAGAATCCCCTCCCTTGGAAAGAATTCCCTGAGGGATGGCTAAACGGAACACCTCGTTTCAGTGATCAGTTCCTGAGCCAGAGATGTCGTTTCTCGACCAACTAATGAACATCAGAATTAGGACATTGGGTATAATTTTGTATATAATGCGAATTTATATTTACCTAATTTTGAGACTCTAGGTATATCTTGCAGTCTATTCAACAAGCTATTTTTTGACTAAGATATAATTAATGAGATCGTATACAGCATATAATAAATACCTAGTAGGATTAAAAAATTCCCTGACTGAGTCTATAACTTAAAAAAAATATTACCAGTTAAAGTATCCGACTACGTTCGGAACCGTGATTTTATAAAAGGGCATAAATGGATAGTTTTCCTGATATTTAGTGTCACTTAGATTAGAATACACGTATAAAATTGTTTTAAGGACATTATGACAAAAAATTTATTTAAGTACAATATTTTGGCAAAAAAATAACTTAGAATAACTTTTTTCAAAATGTTCTCCTTTTGTGAAAAATGCTTCTATTATAATAATATTTCGCCTGTATATAGCTTAGACCTCTGTACAGAGGCTCAACTATGATGTTTAAAAAATTTTTTTTTTTTTTTTTTTTTTTTTTTTTTTTTTTTTTTTTTTTTTTCTTAAAATTTTTCCCCTCTGTTGTGTCGTAAAACATGGATAAACCCACTTATAAGTAAAAAACTTCAAAAATTCTAGTTGAGCCTCTGTACAGAAGTCTGAGCTATATACAGGCGAAATATTATTATAATAGAAGCATTTTTTACAAAAGGAGAACATTTGGAAAAAAGGTTATTCTAAGTTAATTTTTAGCCGAAATATTGTACTTAAATAATTTTTCATTGTAATACTATTCTTAAAACAATTTTATATACATTTTCTAATCTAAATAGCTCGAAATACCATACATATTATCCATTTATACGCTTTTGCAAAATCATGGTTCCGAACGTAGTCGGATACCTTAAGTTGTTGAAATAAATCCTCCTTCGAAACAAGACCCTTAAGCAACAGCTCACTTTTGCCACCACTTACAAAGATCATGGAAACATTTTTGGAATCTATTTTTAGCCCTATCCTTTCATTCAGCTTGCGATGCACTTTTACAATAACTTTATCTGCAGAATGAAATGGACGACCTTCCAAATGACGTTCCAGTTCAAGAAATATTCTGAGGTTTCAGGGGGCGAAATCAGGGGAGTAAGAAGGATGAGGTAAAAGAATTGTTTTCATTTTCACTCCGTCCTTGTTTGCAGCATGTTCTTACGTACCGCCGCAGAAAACTTTTCAATATTTGCAGAGGTACGGGAAGTCTGTGGACGTCCAGAGCGTTCGGCGTCTTTAACACTTCCACTTCCTTCTCTGAAACGTCGATGCAACTCAAAATCTTGTATTCGTGATAATGTATCACTGCCTTAAACCTGCTTCAACATTTCGTAAGTCTCCGTAGCACTCTTTTCCAAGCCAGCACAAAATTTGATATTATTCTCAGCGCAACAAACGCAATTTCTTTCCATCACCGGCTACGAAATGCATCCACCTACAAAATACGACGCCGTGGCAAGCTATCAACCACATGATTTGGGACAAACTTTTTTAGAAAAGGGGAAGAATGCAGTGACACTGAAACGTTATCGTAATCTCTCTACTGCAAAAATTTTTCATTACAGGCTCAGTCCGGGAACTTTTGAATCCTTCCTCGTATTACCTATAAACATCATAATATTCCAATTCCCTGTGGCTTTCTCGAAATAGACCCACTGACGTAATCAACCCATCCATTACTCTTCCATTCCTACATAGATTTTCCTTATCCATACGTTTGTATATTGTTAAATATTACACCCTCACACACACATAAACTCCTAATTGTTCAATGCAACGTTTGTTGCTTACTCTACGTTTAAAGTTAAGCTCTGATGATCCAACTCTTCCCGCAAAACTGCCTGGGGGACAAGCTCCCAAGGAGTGTACTCGTAGAACACTTCTCCACGTATCAAGTGTTTGCAAAAACACAGCGAATAAAATACGTTAAATAACTTTAGTGAATACTTTTTTTCTTTTTTTTTTCTTACAATTTTCGCGCTTTATAATATTATATTTCAAACTTAAGTACCACTGATGTTTATTCACCTCCATTCCCTTAAATACAGGTAAAGTTTTTTTTTATATCTAATGGGCTCTGCATTGGGGGTTTACGACTGCAGACCTAGTAAATTCCCCGGGAGCTGGTATCTCTTTTTAGTGCGGCATCCTATAGGCGGATACCAATCGCCGAAGGTAATTTTGACGCCCAGTTTCTTCCACAGAGGGAGGCACCTGAGCTCTGACGATGCGAACCTGTACTAGGATTTAATTTTGCCGAGCCAAATTATTATTCAAATGATTAATATAATTAAATACAAAATGCAATAAATATAAACAAACACATTTCCATACATACGGCCAACTAACAACGAATACATTGTGCTAAATGTTATTACAACTGTTGGAACATAAACACTTGCAGAGATTAATTCAAACAAAATATATCTACACGGATGCGCGTCAATTAGCTCAACTGATACATTTTAAAGAAATTCCATATTTTTATAATAAGATAATATAAACGAATATTTGTTAAGTACCATCTACAGAGGAAATTTGGTATGATAATTTAATGAGTAAAGAGCACTTCAGGGGTTGTGCCGTGGTTCTAAATTACCATGCCCCTGACGCCAGGAGCTTTCGAATTACTTTAGAGAGCAACCTTTAATAAAAATCAAATCAAATCTTAAAGACAAAATATAATATATGTCAATGATTAATATGTAAAGTAATTTTAATTAGAGACAAAAGAATTGATATTTAAACTATCGGAACTTATATCAGTATGGAAAGGGCTTAACAAATTACAATCAGGAAATGTCATTGACGTACTGTTCTGATATCCGATAGATTGAGACTTTTTACTCTGAGATTTCATTTTGTTCAGCCTAGAAGGATCGTAGCACACAGAAGCCTACTAACGTCAGATAAGTAAAATTTGATTATTTGAAAGAGCGATGTGTGTGATTTTTTGCTTACCCTTATATATTTAAACTAATTGATAAACAAGTAATAGAAAAAAAATTAAGTCAATTCTACTTAGGTCAACAAATTTTGTTTTTATTTTAGTTACTTTTTATTAAATAATTACAATTAATAGAAAAATATATATATACATATGACAGAATAACAATATTAAGTGACAAAATAGAAAGAGATTTTCCTTGTAATTTTCCATTTTCCTTTCTATATAAGGTGTTGTGGACTATATTTTTTTGTGTGTGTTTCTATTTATTCATCAATTAAATTTAATTATTCTAATAAAATAGTATAGTAAAAAAAAGCCCATTATCGAAAACAGGGCCATCCCAGGTGGGATTCGAACCCACGACCTTTGGATTTGAAGTCCAACGCTCTATTCATTACGCCACAGGGACCCAATGAGAGATTTTCCTTTCTGTATATGATGTTGGAATATTATTTTTGTAACTATTCATTTTTAAATTTAATTAATGGATGAATAGAAAGTATTTTATTAACGATTGAAAAAATTGGAACAAGACATATATATATATATATGTATATATTAGGTTGGGGAGAAAGAAATCCATTATTTTTTCGGTAGATGGCTGTAGTGTCGATATCTCGTGAAGTATCGATCAAACAATTTCAAATTTATGCTCGTTGTCAAGATGACATTTCACACTAAAAAAATTATTTTCCTTTTTTTTGCTTGGTCTATTCAGTTGTGAGTTACAGGGTGTTAAAACAGGAAGTCAACAAAGAGAAAATTCAGTTCTTTTTAGTTTTTCTTTGAAAAAAAGTAAAAATGCAAGCCAGGTGGCTGAAATTGCGAATGGTGTTTATGGTGCCGATGCTGTAACAGCTAATTACGTGCAATTTTGGTTTCGTCAATTCCTTTCAGGCATTTTTTGATGTTAAAGATGCACACCTCACAGGCAGGCCCGTTGTCGAAAATATCGATAAAGTCACAGAAATAATCTAAATAGACCGGCATGTTAGTAGTCGTAGCATCGCCCAAGAGCTAAAGATCGATCATAAAACAGTTTTAAGCCATTTGCGCCGTTGGATTCAAAAAGAAGCTCCATGTTTCATCTGCGGAGCCTTGACCAAACGGAATGAAATCGAACCATTTCTTAAATGGATGGTGACTGGGGATGAAAAATGGGTCACGTACTATAATACTGCGCGAAAATGATCGTGGTCAAAGTGTGGTGAAGCAGCTAAAACGGTGGCCAAACCAGGACTATCGGCCAGGAAGGTTCTACTGTGTATTTGGTGGGACTGGAAAGGAATCATTTATTAGGAGTTGCTTCCGCATGGCCAAACACTAAATTCAGATCTCTACTGTCAACAACTGGACCGTTTAAAGCTAGTGATTGACCAGAAATGGCTAGAATTGGCCAACAGAAGATGTGTTGTGTTCCTTTAGGACAACGCTAAGCCATACACTTCTGTAGTGACTCACCAGAATCTCTGGGAGCTTAGTTGAGAAGTTTTAATGCATCCACCGTATAGTCCGGACCTGGCACCAAGCGATTACCACCTTTTTCTTGAGTTGCAAAACTTCCTGAGTGATAAGAAGTTGGGATCAAGAGAAGATAGTGAAAACCGATTACTAGATGTTTTCGCCAATAAGCGCCAAGACTTTTATGAGAGAGGCATTATGAAGCTACCTTTAAAATAGCAACAAATTATACAGCAAAACGGTGCATACTTTACCGAAATCGCACAATCGGAAGCATGTTAAATAAAGCCTTGATTTTCATGCAAAAATAAAAGATTTCTTTTCCCCCCAACCTAATATATATAGAGAGAGAGAGAGTAAAGTAATAGTAGAATTTGCATGAATATCTTGATATTGATCTGCTTCTGTGATTTGTGTCATAATTTTTACACCTACTGACACGACGATTCCGAGTCGAAAACTTACGAATACAGAATCCTCTGAGTGAGTGAAGCAAACTTTTTGAGGGTTTCGCATTAATTGTAGAAATTATTAGGAATCTTTACAGCAGGTCTAGTTGGAAGAGCAACGGCAAATTAAGAAAAATCAAAATTGTCGGTTTTTGTGGAACTTAGTGTCATGAAATATCTTTAAAAATTGCATGCTGATTAGCTTATGACATATTCTACTTTAAAAGATAAAATAAAAATCGGTAAAGATTACTTCTGTTGCAAAATTATAGTTTATATTGGTGCATGTTTCCTACAAAATGAATCATTCTCCTATGTATTGATATCTCCATGATTCGCAACAAATTCCCTCTAAAATGCTAAAATCCTGTTCCTTCAGCGAGAGATTCCATTTTAAGATTTTATCACAGTTCGAGGATTTGTCTAACTTTTGACTCCACTATTCATTTGCCAAAGTGTTTCCTTATCTTTTTGAATGAGTTTTTTTCTACACGGCTAAGTTAATAATCAGACACTAGATAAGAGTTCTTTCAAAATTTTTGAAGACTACCAGCAGTAAATTTGACACTTATGCATACATAAATCGAAAACGATTAAGAAAAAGAGCATCGACACGATGTGATGGCTGATTATTTTTACTGAAATAAAAAATAATGAGAAATTTTTTTTCTTACCTTTGTACTCTCTCGTTTTGTGGGAAAATAGTTCTTCAACATATGTTTTTAAAATTCAATTAGTCATTGTATCACCCGTTCTTCACTAGAAGGAATTCTTAAAATAAAAATTAAAAAATTTCCCCAGCAAATTTATAAATAGTTTTGTTATCAGGTCTCACGGCCAACCCAGTGCAAAACGAAGCATCCTAAAAAAATTTTAAAATTTAAAGTTGGCTTATACAATAATATTCTAAATAGGTTTTAGTGAATTTTGGAAATAATATGCTATTGTGGTGATTCATTCGAAAAAGAAACAATTCTACTACAAGGAACGAAATAGAACCATTTCCAAAAATAAACTATGACATCTTGTGGCAGCATGTAAGCTAAAATCCTATGAAAACTTATTCTTTGATTATGTATAAGTAAAAATTAATATACAAAATGCACCGAATAATATTTTTCTTCACTTTTTTTAAAGAGAAGGAAACCTTCATCTTGCACGCTGCATACATTCCATACAGTGTGGATCGATGGATTTCTGAAATTAATAACATACAAAATGATAAACCGGAAATTGAGAGCCAAAACTCGGCTTGTTTGCATGTTCCAAGCAAAAAAAGTCTATTAAAAACTTGAATCTCTCAAACTACGCAAGAATAGTAATATAACGACGTTTCGGTTGAGAGCTAGACGTAATTCAATACTGATTTTTTTTTAAAATTCAATGTTCAATTTTAAGAAATTTAAGGAAATTTTAGAATATTACTTCAAAAGGCCGCACTATAATTATCTACAGCTTCAACATACCAAATTTCATACTTCTAGGTCTTTCTGTCTTTGTCCTCAAGCCCACTTTTTTTTACTTATAAAGATAAATAAAACAAACCATATGATCATACACATTTAAGCATCAATTAATATAAATTACAATATATATAACAGAATTAATAGTCGTTGATCCGAAATTATAAGCTATCTTAAACTGAAAAAAGAAATTACAGCATTGTTTAAATCCTAAAGCTATATCGTATTGAATTCTGGCTCTCTCCAAACTCGCTCATTAATCCAAGAGAATCGGTATGACATAAGAAAAATGGAACTAAAAGGTCGTTACAATAAACAGGCGTCCCGATCCAATGTGTATTGGGAAGTAAAAAAAAAAAAAAACGAAATTGAGAAAACACACAGTTTACAATACAGGAAATAGAATCATTCTTCCAAATAAAAACTAAAGGTTTTTGAGAATTTATGTTATAAATTTATACGTTCTAATTGCATATCTCAAATTAAAATTGCATCAATTTTCATAAAATGAATTTATATATCCATTCCTTTTAGTAACTATGCAACAGCCGTGCATAATTATTTCATGTACTTAAAATCTCAAATTTTTATAACTAATGTGTTATAAATGTTTAATGTAGCACAGTTGTAATGTTTCGGAAAAAATTTTGATCCGTTTTAAGGAAAACAATAATGTTGACTTGCGACACTCGGAAAGTTTCACTCTTGAGCTGATCAATAACACGAGTGATTTTGTTCAAACAATGGTGTTGATTTTGAAAGAATAAGCTGTAATAAAAAGAAAAAAAATCAGAATATCTTTTGTATATTAAATAAAATTCTATATTACTTTTCATTTAGAGTACAAAGGAGTTTTTGGAGCTCTCTGGTTGTAATTTTTTTTTCTTAAAATGGAGGCAATATTTACTGGTTTGTGCCACAGCTTCCATTTAATCCCCGTCAAAAAGAGAAAGGGTGGAAGACGACTTGATGCAAAGAACCATCACGGAATCGGGAAAAAAAGCTGGCTGCTTTCACGACATCATCTGCAGCCGTAATGGTTCCTTAAGTATTTCATACTCGCGTAAGATTAGTGAGTTGATTTGGCAAGAGTTTGGAGAAGTGCTTAATGTATTCAAGAACGGGAAACGTTATGAGGAGATAAAGCATGTTTTCCTCCGCAGCCTGTCATTAGGCAGCTTGTTTGCGCTCTTCATTTACAAGTGCAGCACGGACCGTTGGCGAGTAGCGGTCCGCAGATGAGAATGGATCAGCGCATGATATCTGGGGACGAGCTCTTCCGGGTGCGCTCCTAATGACTGGGCTTCCCATAGTGAGCGCGCGCGGTTCTTTTGTTCTTGGAATATTTCTTTCATTCTTCTCTTTCAGAGGCAGAAGCAAAAAAGAAGAAAGAAAGCAACAACAAAAGAGATTCGATTATTTGTTTCTCGTTTTAAAACGAGTGGGGATGGCTGCGATAAATGTATTTTAGGCTTAGGGTTACCGACCGTCAAGCTTTCACTTGACATTTTCATTCTTTCTTTATTACCTGTGACCGCAAGCTGTACTTTTTTCACAAAATCTCCTGCATTCTCTTTCACAAAATCTCCTGTATTCTCAATAAAAAAAAAATTGCTTTTGTTTCAGATGACGGGGTCAGAGTTGCTATGTTGCACATTTTTGTTGTGAGATATATAAATATGCGTTATTGGAAAAAAGAATTCCAAACTTACCACAACAATGAACCAAATTATTAAAATATTGTGTGTTATGAACGATATTTGTAATAACTTTTTAATATGCTAAATTTCTAGTTTTATTTCTTTAATTACTAGTTATGTTGTACATAATGATTGCTCTTTTGCAAATAAATAAACACAATAATTGATACTAAAAAACGTTGTATAAACGCCCAAAATTATTTAAATTTTCTTAAGAAAATATTCCTTTAAAATAATAATACTCTCCCAATAATTCTTATTGTTATGATACTACGGTACTGCTTTTTTGTGTACTAATATTATTATAAGTATACGTAACTTGATGTTTAAAATAAA